CAGGTCCAGGATCAGGTCCATGATCAGGTCCAGGATCAGGTCCATGATCAGGTCCAGGATCAGATCCAGGATTAGATCCAGGATCAGGTCCAGGATCAGATCCAGGATCAGGTACAGGATCAGATCCAGGATCAGATCCAGGATTAGATCCAGGATCAGATCCAGGATCAGGTCCAGGATCAGGTCCATGAGGTTCTGCAGGGCGTTTAGTCTGCATCTCCAGCAGGAAGATGAGTGGTTTGAGCTGATCTCTGACCTGCTGGCCTCACCTGAGCCTCACCTTTCTGCTCTCAGTGTTCGTGCGCTACAACCTGGGTCCTGGGGTGGCCGTGGAGCTGGAGGCCCAGGCTAGAGTGGCGGAGCTGAAGGAGGTGGTGGGGAGTCAGCAGGGTGTAGCTCCTCAGGAGCTCCGGGTTCTGTTCGCTGGCAGGGAGCTGCAGAGCTCCGCCTCTTTGCTGGTGAGCTCCTTCATGGATCTGCAGGTAAAGTCACCTGATGTGTTCCTCACCATACCCTCCTCTGCCAGGGCTGTGACCTGCCTGAGCAGAGCACGCTCCATGTGCTCCACCCTCCTCCTGGCTCCTCCTCCCAGCTGCTGCTGCAGGAGCATCTGGCTCCAGGAGGGGAGAGCAGACAGGACCGGCTGACCTCACTTGACCTGAGCTCCTGGCGGCTCCCTGCCACCTCCTCAGGGCTGGCTGTCATCCTGGATGAAGAGAGAGGAACCAGGAGAGGAGAAGATCAACAGACTGCAGCTCCTAAAGGTCAGGGAGTCGCTCCATTCTCCCAATGTCTGTTCTGCTTTTCTATTCACTTTATTTCTATGCTCCATTTCACACCATGTCAACCCAGGTCCCTGTATAGATCCAGATCATCAGATCATCTGATTAAATGTTCAAAGTTTTCTATCTAAGGAAAACCAGCTGATTGCATCGACTCATTGACTCTTCAGCAATCCCTCACACTAAGCATGCTTGTAGCGACAGTGGAGAGGAAAAACTGTCTGCATTCAGGAGCAGAAAGTTAAGAGTCATCCAGGTTTTTCTGTCTTCAGACATGCCTGTAATCTATGTAATGGGTCCGTGAGCCAGACCCTTAACCACACCCTGCTCCTCCCGCACAATGGCAGCCCACTGCTCCCCGACGTTAAATGCAGAGAAGGAATTTCTGAATTCTGAGACAATGAAGG